ACAGAGAGACAGAGAGACAGAGAGAGACAGAGAGAGACAGAGACAGAGATAGAGAAAATTTCAGATTGTTTTCTTGACAGCTTTATTTCCAGCCATTTATTCACACACACACACACACACACACACACACACACACACACACACCATCCACTGTGTGCCAGTCACTGAGGATACAGTAATGGACAAAGTATATAAAATCCTGTTGTTAATGGACCTTATGGTCAAAGTGGAAGAGACAGGCAATAAACAAGCAGATTCTTCTGCTCATAAATGGGGCCTATTACTTAGCTCTTTGTCTATTGGTGCCTGACTCTATTATCTCCCCTGCTCTGCTATATGATCTTTGTCTTCCTGTATTGTGGGCACAGGGACAGAGAAGGAAGAAAGCTGTTTCAGTTCCTCTATTCTCTACACTTCAAGCTCTGCATGAAGTTTGAATTTGCCAAAGTCAGGTTTAGTGTCTGTGTACCAGCCGAGTGAAGATGTCAGTATTTTTCATCAACACTGCACTGGTGGGCTGGCTCATCTGTCAGCTTGCTTGTGAGATGACAATAAGGTACTGGATGTGAGAGTTGTACTATTACCTTATAATTTAAGTGTTCTTTTTTGATACGATTTTAGTTGTGCTGAGCCCCACTGTACCTGGCTGCTTTGACAAGTGTGCTATTTTAGCAATGCAGAATGAAACAGAAAGAAAAGAATTCATAGTATGCTTGCACTGTCAGGTCCAGGTTGCTCTGTTCCTAAGTTTGTAGGTGATTTGTTCAGGATTGTTCAGAGACAAAAAAAAAAAAGTTAGGTTTTGTTTTTAACCTATGTAACTCTGAATGTTCTAGTAGTTACATGATAGGTGCTATCTATAGGACCCAATAAAAGAGAATGCCCTTCCTTCCTTGTCATGTTTGAAATGCTACCATTGTAATTAATTTCTAAAGTATTAGCCTTTTTCAAATACACACTCCTGGTTAGGCTAACTTCTGAAGTCCTTAACATTGAGGTTATACATCAGATCAACTTTAATTTCTTCCTTAAGCAAAATCATGGGAACAGATGAGAAGGAGTTGGAAAAAAAAACCCAAAACAACACAAGAAGTAGGAAGATAATGTGATGATCACGACCCAGTCCCTAGAGCTCTTCTGTTGTCATTGTGAACAAAGTCACCTTAAGAAATTCCTACTGAAAACGACTATAGGAAATGTGGGCTTATATTTTAGCTACAAAGGTTAGGCACTGTTTTTCAGTAAAGAAGGAGGCTACCACCAAAGATTTAGAGAATTGTTCATAAGCCCAGTAGGTAGAGAGAAATCTTTACCTTTGGTGCAGGATAACTCTATACATCCAATTCATTGGGCATCTAATATCATTCTCCTTTATGAGATGTTCACAAGGCACTGAGTGCTGACGCTGTGGAAGAAATAGTGTAGCTTAGGTGTTTCCACTCCAATTTAAAAAGCATCAGGCATTATCTAAAGATACGCATGAGACTGTTCAGCTTCAGGCATTCAATACTATTATTTGGGAGGACATGGGAGAAAGCTTTTGGGAAACATTACTTAGCATATTTTGAAACAGAATCCACATTTGATTTCAAAGAATGAAAGTAGAGAGGGTTTAAAGAATTATGACCCTTTAGCATCAGGTGTAGACAAAATGTTCACTAAAACAACACAATAGAAATTACAATATCAACACTTGCACAATAATATAAAATGAGTTTTATGTTCAAGGGCTGGAGAGATGGCTCAGCCGTTAAAGGCTAGACTCACAACCACAAATATGAGTTTTAAGTCCCAAATGATTTGGGCCTAGCCCCATTCACCAAAGGGCAAATCGAATTTCACATACAAAACCAATGTATATGCCAAACTGGCTAGAAAAAGACTACAAGGCTGTAGCCCTATACAAAGAACTACAGGCAACTGAGTTGGGGGTAGGAAGTGGTCTCCCCCAGGAAAGAGTGCACCGATTGGTTGTCCAGTGCCAAATGGCTGTTAGCCCTGAAAACATAGATATAAATAGCATTATAGAGATTCAACAGGTTGTAATTAGGAATTACGTATGTATATGCATATGTATTACATATGTATATATGTATATGCATGCAGTAAGAGCAGGGAGGGATATTTGGAAGGGTTTCAAGGGTGAAAAGTGAAGGAAGAAATGTCGTAATTATAATCTCAGGAATTAAAGAAAACTAAGAAGCACCAATAAAAGGATGTGCTCTTCTTAAACTCTTCAGCTAGATCAATCTGGAATAGTTTTTTTTAGCACAATTATGGTTTTTTTTTTGTGTGACTGAGCTGATACTTTTGGATCTTGAACACAATATTAAGTTAAAAATTAATATTTGCTTGAGCCTATGCTTATTCAAGGATTAGGCATATAGCTTAGTGGTAGAAGGGTTCATCTGTGAGGCCCTGGATTCATTCCATTATTAGCATTGAAGAAAAGGAAGCTAGTTCAGGAAGATCTAGTCCCAAATACACACAGTTCACAAATACTTGGAGGTGCTGTGGAAGCCTCATGAGCGTGTTCTGTCATGATTTTGTTGTCCCAGTGTCTTTATGCGTTTCTTTTGTCAGTCTGTTTCTGCCCCTTATGATGCCACCTCTATCACTGATTCTTTTGTACACTGGTTAAGGCAAGTCATCGCTGATGGCTCTGCAGGTTGCAGGGACTACACAAGAACAAAAGCATCACCAAATTTCTCATCTTTGTGCAAGGGCAGCAGGAGATGAGTACTCTTCATCTCTCAAATACTACAAGTGTTCACCTTTCCAGTGTTCCCCCTCACCAACAAGGAGGAGCAGGTGATCAAACCCCACGACGAGTTTGAAGCTGCTAAACTGCTGAGCTGGCCTTAATTGAAGTGTGAGAAGAGGTTTTAAGGCAGGTAGACAACATCCTGTTGTTGGGGCGCTCATCTTTTTTTCATCCTGGCTGCCCTGGGAGTCAGGTGGCTGATTGTGACTGGTAACCACCGCAGCAGCAAAGGCAGCAGCAGCATTTCCCTTTCACCGTCTTCCTCTGGGCCTGTACAAGAGTCCACCAGGCATGGATGCAGTGACTGTGTACCATGGCAAAATCAGCAGGGAGACTGGGGAGAAGCTCTTGCTCGCCACGGGGCTGGATGGAAGCTATCTGCTAAGAGACAGTGAGAGTGTTCCTGGCGTGTACTGCTTGTGTGTTTTGTGAGTACCTTGTGGTAGTGGCAGTCTGGGGACACACCTGCCTTTACCCGCTGGGGAGGCCTGGAAGCAGGGGGCACAGGGTTACAGCTTTTAGTTAAGGTAGTCAGGGACACAGACAGCATCAGGGACTCTTGAGTATTCTTCATCTCTCATGCCTGGTGCCAAGGCTTCCCCAGACCCAGCTCAAGGCTGTTTTGGGTAGTACTTGGGTATAGGATGCTTACTGGGGATTTCATCTACTGTGTCTCACCAGTGTGTTTGTGGCAGCCTCTCCTGTACTAGAGTGAGGATTTTCTGGAGCTGCTGAGATGCCTTCCTTTATAAGAGAGGCCAAGGAGTTTAAAAACGTGGAATGTAACAATTCCTCTTTGCTCTTTGTCTGGACTGTTTCCAGCCTCTTGTTCCATTTTGAACTAGATGGAGCTGCATCTCGGCTCTCTACCTCCCCGGCCAAGCAGATCTGAGATCGAATCCTACTATAGTCAGCCTCTAAGCTTGTTGTCTCAGCAAATCAATCTCTTAGTCCTTGAGTTTTCTTATTTATTAAAGGGACTGTAAAGATGAAGTAAATCCACGCTTTTAAAAACAAGTACACTCTGGGCTTGGCACTGAGCAAATGTTCTGTAAGCTATTGGCTTTAGTTTATTATTATTGTCTTTTTGGACAACAATTTATTTCAGTACTCATGGAGGCATTTCTGCAAAAGGACCTAGCTCAAGCATTACTGAAAGCAGGGTAAAAAAAAACTCACAAAATCTTCACTCTAGCACAGTAGAGTCTACATAAAAACGAAACAAAGGAAAATGCTTTGTAATGTGTTCTGGACATGATGATACACTACAAAATTTTGAAGTACTTTCTGGGACAGAAAATAAAGATTAAATTATGGATGATGTGAGAGGATTGCCATTGTATATTGGTTTTTTTTTTTTAAATGGCCAAGTCTTATTTGTGGCAGTTTTCAGATCAGGTTAAATACATTTATCATAAAGGCTTAAAGTTAAATATGTGGAAAAGTAATTTTTCAGTGTTGGGGACAGAACCCAGGATTTTATGTCTACTGGAAATTGCTTTTGCACTGAGCTAGACATCAGCCTTGGGCTTGGACCTTTACGTTCTCAAGTGGAACCTTAGGAAGGACAAGAAAAGCCAATGAAGATCCTTGGTTTGATTTTTTTCTTGTCAGAAGATGGAGGATGGTGAATGAAATGAGCTGCTTTGACTTAGCAGCGGGTCAAGTAGCATGCTCCTTAAACTAAAGGCAAAAATGAAGGTTCAAATGAAGCCTGAATAGGGGGGAGAGAGCTGGAGACAGTATACCCAAGACTTCTACTTTATAGACCACCTTTGTTCCTGAAGGTCACCATGCCTGCTCCACTCAGGATTTTACACCTTCTGTTCAATCTTCACCCCTTGATTATTCTAACATTTGTCCGTGTTGCTATCCCACTATTTTTATTCAAGGACCTTTAAACTTTCTGCTAGCTTGTTTACTTATGTATGTGTTCTACCACAAAAATACCTTCATGAAGGAACAAATATTGTCCCCAGTACCAGAAACATTCCCTGGTATATAATGGGCACTCAGCAAACGATTTGTAAGTAACTGAATGAACTGTTAAGGCATATTGTACTCTACTACAAAGAGCCTTGGGCTGACAAGAGGCCAGGGTTTGGGCTCTAGGGAGTCACTCAGATTCTCTGGGCATTTCATCTTCCATATATGTAAAACAGAAATCTGTTTCTTTTCTGTTAAAAAGATTGCTGTAAGTAAAAACCTGAAGGGAGGAATTCTTAGGTTTTTAGGCAGGTAGGTCAGGACCATGTAAGGAATTTCTCATCATTTTAGTTTTCACTGAAGGTGAATGCTGCGTAAATGCAAGGTTTTGTTGTTGTTGTTGACTAATTTTCCCATGAAAATAGAGAAGTAGAGAATTCTCCTCCTGTCATATGGTTTTTCCCGAGTTATGACCAGGCTACTGTGGAGGGAAGAGTCAAGATTCTTTGCCTTTGATTAGTTCTTTAGTTATTTTGGAGCTGGGTGTCCCTTTTGATACACATACATATTTCATTCTCTCTTACTGGCACTCCGTGGTACTCGCAAAATGTTATTTTGGAACAAACTATGCACACTTAATTCAAAATACTGGGTTGTATGATACAGAGTAGGAATAAATAGAATCATATGTGTTTGAACAAACATGCAATACTTGCAGTTAACTCAGTGCCACTTTGTTCTATCTTTTGTTTATTCCCATTAACCAAGAAAGCTTGCTTCAACTTCAGTTTACTCGATTTTAACTGTATGTTTCCAATTGTACTTTCCAACTATATATTCCTCTTTCCCAGATGAAATCCCAGCCGTGGTCCTCAGACAGGGCCTTTTCTCCTGTTAGGTTCTTAAAAAACAGAATGCTTCAAACATTGTAAAAGGTTTCCACTTATATAATTGCTACTCTTCATCAACAATACAAAGCTTTTCTTCCAATTATTTTCTCTAAATGTAATTAGAATTAAAATAATTTGTCCAAATAGTCCTTTACACTTATTTGTGATATTAAAATATGAAAACATAGATAACGGAATCAAAGGAAAAAAATCACTTATAGGCAACTACTATTAACTTTTAAGTAAAATTTCTTCTATTTTTTAATAAGATGAATACTTTTGAACATGTACATGCTTTCACTACATTTTGCTGTAATTTACATGTTGTATGAAATAAAAGCTGATCCATACGTAATATTTTCACAAAGAAATTCAAGACATTATTTTATAAGGGTTGTATTTTAGTTCAGCTAAGTTGTAAATAAACCATATTTTTCTTGACCAACCTATTTTATTTCTTATCGACTAATTTTGCCTTTTGACAATTTCATACATTTCCATCAGCCTTTTATTTTGACACCTGAATCATTCAATACTTTTCAGTTATATAGTGTACATATGAATGATTACCATAAACATATATTCTAGTTTATATGTGTAATTTTCATTAACAATGAGTATTCTTGTTAAAAATAATTCCCTTTGAAATTTGATTTCTAATTTTTTATTATATTTATACTCCATTTTTCATATTTTAGATTTTGTTAATGACACTGAATGTTTTTGATGTGGTTGTTAAACTATGTTTTCCCATTTGTGAATGGGCTATTTGCATACTTTTAACAGTTAATGATTTGGATCTTACTGCTTTTCATAAACACACTTGTGCATGCACACACACACAAACACACACACACACACACACACACACACACACACACACACAAATGCCCAAGTACACAGACATATCTTGTTATGTTGCAGACCTCCTTTCTCAGTTTGCTGTTTGTTATTTAAAACTTTTAGTACTGAAATGCCTCATTCAGCTTCTTCATGTTTAATCTCTCCCTTTGCTTTCCAGCTCCCAGAGATGCATAAAACTTCAGTTTTTGTTTTAAATATGTTGTTTTATTAATTTTAATTCTATCCTTTAATTTCATTTGAGTTTTATTTTTCAGGGAATAAAAGACCTAATTTGATTTGTTTCCAGGTAGTTATCAGTTGTCCAACATAGTTTACTAAATTAAACTTCCATTCTTCATTTGTTAGGCTATTTTACCAAGTACTAAAAGAGCTGAATATTTACAATATTGTTATTGTTTCTGGACTATTTGGTTCAGTTGATCTATTTGTGCTTATCTTAATTGAATTAGTGTACCATAACTTTCAAACATACTAGAAAGCTATTAGGCATTCTCATATATTGGTTATTTGTGATGGAATAGAAAATGTTTTTGTTAGATTGGATTAAATTAATATCTATAGTAAATTCAAGAAAATTTTCATCTTTAAAGAATTTACTCTTGTCAAAGATATGGTATAAGATTTTATTCTCTTCCATTTTCTAGGAATATCAAGTTTCTTTCATTGAGGTACATGTAATACCCTCACAATTTTTACTTCAATATGGATAGCTACTAAGTACTGCTGCCTCAAAAACTAATTAAAACATTTTAAAAATAAACTTGAAAAATAGCATATTTCCACAATTAACATCCCTATATGCTAGGTGACTTTTTTTTTTTTTTACTTTTCTGCTGAAAGATTTGGAAGAAGAAGCACATTTATAATTCTTTAGTCTGGAAAACACGTAATGAGGCAATTTTTCATATATGTCTTTGGATAAGAGAGTTATTTTTTGTCTTTTTCGAGGGGCCAAATTGATGATTACTTTTCTCCTTTGGTAGCATGCATAGTACCTTCCAGCCCCATGAGATAGCCCATAGAGTTGAAGCTCTCAGGTCTGTACCAGTTTGACTTCCCCATGATTCTTGCCTCAAGTATGTGATGTTGTCAGCAATAGGGTCTTACTGTCAAGTTCTGAAGGGTAACCAAGAGGATTGGCAATAGCCTGGAATGTCTGGTGGTCTATATGAGCTCACTAGCCAACAACTCAAAAAAAAAAAGAGACAAAATCCATTCCTGATACTAGGCATTTCATTTGGTAATATATCATGTCTAGTTGTTGCCTTGTTATAGAGTAAATCCCTTTTAACTCATTTATATATGTGTATAGGTATATATTTTAGGAAACATCTATATTAGTAGATTTACTAATGTACTAGTCATTAGTAGATGACTTTTTTGAGAGGTCTTTAGTGTTCTTTATCCCTTTATATCTTCTACCCTGCCTTCCCACCCCTACCCCAATTTAGTCTTTCCTGTTCCAGTATTCCTTTTTGATTATTTATACCTGTGTATTCTGTCTCTCCTCCCTTGAAAGTTGCCATACATGGTCCCTTAGTAATTCCATGACCTTTGTGAGTATTGCTAATGAAACATACATCTTTTTGTAGCTCATTCCCCGTGAAGGGATACCTTGTTCAGCCTAGATAAAGGGGGGAGGGCCTTGGTCCTGCCCCAAATAATATGACAGAGGTTGATGATTCCCCATCAGAGGCCTCACCCTCTCTGAGGAGTGGATGAGGAGGTGGGATGGAGAGATGGAGAGG